GAGAGAGAGATGACGAGAGAAAGAGAGGAGAGCGAGAGAGAGAGCGAGCAGAGAAGAAGAGAGATGAGAAGAACAAGAAAACAGAGAAACGAGAGTAAGAGAGTCAGAAGAGGACGCAGATGAGAGAGGAAAGAGGAGGAGGAGGAGAGAGAGAGAGATGAGGGAGAGAAGAGAGAAGAGAGAGGAAGAGAAGAAGAGAGAGAGCAGAGAGAGAAGAGAGAGAGGAGAACGAGAGAGAACAGAGAGAAGAAGAGAGAGAGAGAACGAAGAGAGAGGAAGAGTAGACAGATAGGAGAAGAGAGAGAGAGAGAGGAGCGAGAAGAGGAGAAGAGAAGGAGGAAGAGAGAGAAAGGGAGAGCAGAAGATGGAAGACCGGAGAAGCCGGAAGAGGACGAGGAAGAACAGGAGAACGAGGTGGAGAGAGCGGAGAGAGCGAGAGAGAGGAGAGAGAGAAAGAGAAAGAGAAAGAGGGAAGAAAGAGAAAAGGAGAAAGAGAAAAGAGAAGGAGAAGAGAGAAAGAGAGAGAGAGAGAGAGAGAGAGAGAGAGAGAGAGAGAGAGAGAGAGAGAGAGAGAGAGAGAGAAGAGAGAGAGAGGTGAGAGAGAGACAGAAAACGAGAGAGAAGAAGATGGAGAGAGAGAGAGAGAGAGAGAGAGAGAGAGAAGAGAGAGAAGAGAGAGATGAGAGAGAGAGAAAGAGAGAGAGAGAGATGAAGAGAGAGAGAAATCACATCCCCCTCATCTCGTCAGTATTACGACACGTCAGATCATGTTAATTAATCCCATCTCTCCAGCACCAAATTTTCACCTCAGAACTCCAGTCATCTCGACACGGCTTCTTAAAATACGACGCCATCATCTCTAAAATCACCTCATGTAGATCTCCCTTCATTGCTATCCCCTCATGTCAGAAGATACGTCATCTCATGTCGAAAAGGAAGTCAGAATCATGTCATATCCGCCTTCTCTCGTAAGAATTTCTCTACGCCGGAACTCATGTCAATTCAGAACCAATTCACGTCAGTACTCATGTTGATTTTCAACCAATTTCCGTTAATAGATGTCTATTCAGAACCCCTTCAATTCAGAACCAATTAACATCACAGTTCATGTCAATTCAGAACCCCTTCACGTCAAAATTCATGTCTAATCCACGAACCCTTCCAATTCAGAACCAATTGACATCCCACAGTTCATGTCAATTCAGTGAACCCATTCTCAGGCCAGAACTCATATCGAGATCAGACACCCCTTTTCACAATACAAAATCCCCTGCCCGTTCCGAACCAGTCCCCCCTAATCAAGAACCCCAATCCCGTGGACCCCCTCTCACCCTCCTCAGAACCCCACATCACGCCAGAACCCTCATCCTTCATCAGAACTCCATCCTACGACCAACCTCACTCCTCCTTAAAGAACCGACCCTACTCCTCCAGAACCCCATCCCACAACCCCCCTCTCCCCTCCTTAGCGCTCCCATCCCGCCAAACCCCCCATCACACGACCGCCTCAGCCCCTCCTTAGAACCCCACATCCCTTTTAGAACCTCATCCCTTCATCTCAAGAACCCCCTCTCCCTCCTCAGAACCCCATCCCCCTCCCCCCTCTTCCCCTCCTCAGAAACCCCATCCCTCCCCCTCTCGCCCTCCTTAGAACCCCATCCCTCCTCCCTTATCTCCCCTCCTTAGAAACCCCCCATCCCTCCTCCCTATCTCCGCCTCCTTAGAAACAACCATCCCTCCTCCCCTCTCCCTCCTTATGAACCCCAACCCCTGCCTCCCTCTCGTCCATCCCCCAAGAACCCGCCAGCCCTCCTCAGAACCCCATCCCTCCTCCCCCTCTCCCTCGCTCCGGAACCCCATCCTTCTGGCCTCGCTCCCCTCCCTCCCCTGCCTAAGAGAGCCCCTCCTCGATTCCCATCCTCTTTGACGACCGTGTTCCCCTCCTAAAGGGAACTTCCCACCCTCCCCCCCTCTTTCTTATACCCCCGCCCAGAACCCACCCATCATCAGACCCTCTCCCCTCCGCCCCATATGCATTTAGCCTGGTTTAACTGGACCCCATCCCTCCCCCCTCCTCCCCTCCCTCAGAACGCCCATCCCTCCTCCCCTCCGTCTCCCTCCTCAGAACCCCATCCCTCCCCCTCTCCCCTCCTTAGAACCACATCCCTCCTCCCCCTCTCCCATCCCGAGAACCCCAGCCCATCACCAGAACCTCGTCGACGTCCCTCCACGTCAAGAACCAGCGCAACGATGATCACGTTTCCTGGACAAACAATCAGCCGCTCAGATCTTACCTCGTATCATAATCGGCTGAACGATCACATGAGCAGCTGGCTCGGAAACATGGTCCGTAAAATCTGAGACACCAGCGTTTTGTGCGGTCTGGGTCTGCTGGGGGGGGGGGGTAGGAAGGGGGTAGGGAGAGGGATAGGGGGGTTAGAGAGGAGTAGGATTATAAGGTTAGCTCGGTGTGGAGAGGTGGAATGTGTGTCTGCGTGGTGAGACTCGGAACGTGGTGTGGGATGTGTGTGGGGGGGGCATATGTGGTGGGTGCGTGTTTGTGTATGGGAGGGCGTGCTGTGTGTGTGTGTGTGTGTGTGTGTGTGTGTGTGTGTGTGTGTGTGTGTGTGTGTGTGTGTGTGTGTGTGTGTGTGTGTGTGTGTGTGTGTGTGAGTGTGTGTGTGGTGTGTGCGTGTGCGTGTGCGTGTGCGTGTGTGTCTACGTCTCCATGTGCGGACACATATGCAACTATGAATATGCGCCTTATTTGTATGCGTACAGTACACCCCTGTACACCCGCCGCCGCACACCAACCCCCCCACCGACGGGGAAACAAAGTCAGCCTCCAAAGCACCTTTCTCCCTTCCCGAATTCCAACGTATATATACCTTAATCTCTCCCCCACCCCCCATCCCCCTATCCTCCCCACTTTCTTAGCCTCATTCTCCCCCCCTCCCCCGACTTCCCCTCTTTCTCTTCTTTTCTAAAAACCCATCTCCGTAATTTCCATTTTGCGTTCCGTCCCGCCATGAGTTGGGAGCGGGGGCGGGGGGGGGGGGGGGGGGAGGACCCGCAGGACACCCGGCTTGTCAGCCTTCGAGGGCGAGCGATGGACTGTCTGCTCTCACCCTCCGGCAGTAAACAGCCCTGGGTAGGGGTATTAGGTAGGGGTCTAGGGTAGGGGGGTATAGGTAGGGGTAAGGGTAGGTTATTATATTATTGCTAGGGGTTAGGGTAGGGTAAAGGGGGGGTAAAGGGTGTGGGGTAAAGGGTAGTTACTTAAAGGGTGGGGGTAAAGCTCAATCAGAGGGGTAGGGTGATAGTGTGAGGGGTATCCCGGTAAGGCAGAGAGTAAGGGTAGTAGGGTACGGTTTGGGTGTGTGGTGTGAGGTGGAGGTCGAGGGGGGATGTAATAGGCGGGCAGGGGGTAGTATTCGAGCAGGAGAGAGGGGAGGCAGAGGAGGAGAGGTCCACGGGTTAGGGGATAGAGTGAGGGACGGGGCGGATGGGAAATAAAGAAAAACTGAAGGGATACGAAAGGGGTCACGAAAACAGAGCAAGGGGTGGGGGGGAAACAGGGGATAGGGAAGATAATATCTTAGGAGCAATAGATAAACGAGAGAGTGCGAGTTATGGTTGCTCGACTTAAGACGGGAAAAGGGGTAAGGAGACACCAGAGAAAATAGAGTGCAGAGGTATCATACCACTGAGTCTATTGGTAGAGAGAGAGAGAGAGAGAGAGAGAGAAGAGAGAGAGAGAGAGAGAGAGAGCAGAGAGAGAGAGAAAGAGAGGAGACGACGAGAGAGAGAGAGAAGAGAGAGAGATGAGAGAGAGAGAGATGAGCAGAGAGAGAGGAGAGAAAGAAGAAAAGAAAGAAAGAAAGAAAGAAAGAAAGAAAGAAAGAAAGAAAGAAAGAAAGAAAGAAAGAAAGAAAGAAGAAGAAAGAAAAAAATAAGAAAGAAAAAGAAAGACAAGAAAGAAAAAGCAAAGAAAGAAAGAAAGATAAGAAAGAAAGAACGCAAGAAAGAATGAAAAAAGAAAGAAAGAAAAAAGAAAGAAAGAAAAAAAGAAAGAAAGAAAGAAAGAGAAAGAATTATGATTCAAAAGGAAAGAGAGACAGAGCGAGGGAGAAGGAAGGGGAGCAGAGTTAGAGCCTATAGCAGGATGGAGGCAAAGCGAAGTGTACGGAAAGTCGAGGCACAGTGCCAGGGGAAGTTTTGAGCAGGACGCGGGCAGGGGACACGAGTGGGGAGAAGTGCAGCGAGTGGCAAATGGATGGAAGGGAAAGTCAACAGGAATTTAATGTAAGCTTGGATGCTAATGACAAGAAAGAGGAAAAAAAAAACTACAATTTCGAAAGCGAGAATAAAAAAAAGAACAAAAATAAAAATCTTAAAAATCAGAAATGAAAATACAAGCATTTAAATTTTGAAAACAAGAATTAACAATAAAAAAAAAACAGAGAAAAGAGAAAGAAAGAAGAAAGAAAAAGAGAGAGATAGAAAGAAAGAAAGAGAGAAAGTATGATTCAAAAGGAAAGAGAGAGACAGAGCGAGGGAGAAGGAAAGGGGAGAGAGTTAGAAGCCTTAGCAGGATGGAGGCAAAGCGAAGTGTACGGAAAGTCGAGGCACAGTGCCAGGGGAAGTTTTGAGTAGGACGCGGGCAGGGGACACGAGTGGGGAGAAGTGCAGCGAGTGGCAAATGGATGGAAGGGAAAGTCAACGGGAATTTAATGTAAGCTTGGATGCTAATGACAAGAAAGGGGGAAAAAAATCTAAAATTTCGAAAAGCGAGAAAAAAAAAGAACAAAAATAAAAATCTTAAAAATGAGAAATAAAATATGAAATCTTGAAAACACAAAATGAAAAAAAAAGACGAAAACTCAAAAATAAAGGAAAACAAAAAGAATAAAAATCTCGAAAACGCAAGAATTAAAAAGAATATAAAATCTAGAATTTTGAAAACACAAGAATAATAATCAACGATTTTGAAAACAAGAATAAAACAAACATTTAAATCTTGAAAACAAGAATAACAATAAAAAAAAACAGAAAGAGAAAGAAAGAAAGAAAAAGAGAAAGAAAGAAAAAGAAAGAGAGAGTTATGATTCAAAAGGAAGAAAAAAAGAAAGAAGAGAAAAAGAAAAGAGAGGGAAAGAGTTGATATCAAAAGGAAAGAGAGGGACAGAGCGAGGAGAAGGAAGGGGAGCAGAGTTAGAGCTATAGCAGGATGGAGGCAAAGGGAAGTGTAGGGAAGTCGAGGCACAGTGCAGGGGGAAGTTCTGAGTAGGACGCGGGCAGGGGACACGAGTGGGGAGAAGTGCAGCGAGTGGCAAATGGATGGAAGGGAAAGTCAACGGGAATTTAATGTAAGCTTGGATGCTAATGACAAGAAAGAGGAAAAAAAAACTACAATTTCGAAAAGCGAGAATAAAAGAAGAACAAAATAAAATCTTAAAAATGAGAAATAAAATATCAAATCTTGAAAACACAAAATGAAAAAAAAAAGACAAAAACTCAAAATAAGGAAAAACAAAAAAGAATAAAAATCTCGAAAAACGCAAGAATTAAAAAGAATATAAAATCTAGAATTTTGAAAACACAAGAATAATAATCAACGATTTTGAAAACAAGAATAAACAAAACATTTAAATTTTGAACAAAAGAATAACAATAAAAAAAAAAACAGAGAAAGAGAAAGAAAGAAAGAAAGAGAGAAAGATAGAGAAAGAAAGAAAAAGAAAGAGTTATGATTCAAAAGGAAAGAGAGACAGAGCGAGGGAGAAGGAAGGGGAGCAGAGTTAGAGCCTATAGCAGGATGGAGGCAAAGGGAAGTGTACGGAGAGTCGAGGCACAGTGCCAGGGGAAGTTTTGAGTAGGACGCGGGCAGGGGACACGAGTGGGGAGAAGTGCAGCGAGTGGCAAATGGATGGAAGGGAAAGTCAACAGGAATTTAATGTAAGCTTGGATACTAATGACAAGAAAGAGGGAAAAAAACTACAATTTCGAAAGCGAGAATAAAAAAAAAGACATAAATAAAAATCTTAAAAATGAGAAATAAAATATCAAATCTTGAAAACACACACAAAAAAACAAACAAAAAAACTTGAAAACTCAAAAATTTAGGAAAACAAAAAGAATAAAAATCTCGAAAACGCAAGAATTAAGAAGAATATAAAATCTAGACTTTTGAAAACACAAGAATAATAATCGACGATTTTGAAAACAAGAATAAAACAAACATTTAAATTTGAAAACAAAGAATACAATAAAAAAAAACAAACAGAGAAAGAGAAAGAAAGAAAGAAAGAAAAAGAAAGAAAGAGAGAGAGAGAAAGAGTTATGATTCAAAAGGAAAGAGAGACAGAGAGAGGGAGAAGGAAGGGGAGCAGAGTTAGAGCCTATAGCAGGATGGAGGCAAAGCGAAGTGTACGGAGAGTCGAGGCACAGTGCCAGGGGAAGTTCTGAGTCGGACGCGGGCAGGGGACACGAGTGGGGAGAAGTGCAGCGAGTGGCAAATGGATGGGAGGGAAAGTCAACGGGAATTTAATGTAAGCTTGGATGCTAATGACAAGAAAGAGAAAAAAAATCTACAATTTCGAAAACAAGGATAAAAAAAGGACAAAAATAAAAAAATAAAAATCTTAAAAATGAGAAATAAAATATCTAATCTTGAAAACACAAAATGAAAAAAAAAACAAAAAACTTGAAAACTCAAAAATAAAGGAAAACAAAAAGAATAAAAATCTCGAAAACGCAAGAATTAGAAAGAATATAAAATCTAGAATTTTGAAAACACAAGAATAATAATCAACGATTTTGAAAACAAGAATAAAACAAGCATTTAAATTTTGAAAACAAGAATAACAATTAAAAAAAAAACAGAGAAAGAGAAAGAAAGAAAGAAAGAAAGAAAAAAAAAAAAAAAAGAAAGAAAGAGAGAGAGAGAGAGATATGATTCAAAAGGAAAGAGAGACAGAGCGAGGGAGAAGGAAGGGGAGCAGAGTTAGAGCCTATAGCAGGATGGAGGCAAAGCGAAGTGTGCGGAAAGTCGAGGCACAGTGCCAGGGGAAGTTCTGAGTCGGACGCGGGCAGGGGACACGAGTGGGGAGAAGTGCAGCGAGTGGCAAATGGATGGAAGGGAAAGTCAACGGGAATTTAATGTAAGCTTGGATGCTAATGACAAGAAAGAGAAAAAAAAATCTACAATTTCGAAAACAAGGATAAAAAAAGGACAAAAATAAAAAAATAAAAATCTTAAAAATGAGAAATAAAATATCAAATCTTGAAAACACAAAATGAAAAAAAAAGACTTGAAAACTCAAAAAATAAAGGAAAACAAAAAAAAAAAAAAAAAAATAATAAATAAAAATCTCGAAAACGCATTAAAAAGAATATAAAATCTACAATTTTGAAAACACAATAATAATAATAAACGATTTTAAAAACAAGAATAAAATAAATATTAAAATCGTGAATGAAGAGAATAATAATAAACAAAGAACAAAATAAACCTAGAATCCTGAAAACACCAAAATAATAATAAAAAAACTACAATTCCCGAAAAACACCCCCCAAAAAAAAAAAAAAAAAAAAAAATCAAGAACACAAAAACTCCAATACGACCAGAAAGAGCAAATACAACAACCTCAAAAAGAATTCTCATAAAGAAGACTTGCATCACAGAACGACCACCATGACCCCAACCCCCACAACCACCAAACGTACCCACGACCCCCCAACGACCACCACGACCCCCACGACCCCCAACGTACCACCACGACCCCACGACCCCCCACAACCACCAACCCCGTAACTCCACAACCCCCACGTACCCCACAACCACCAACGTACCCCACACCCCCACGACCCCCACACACCACAACCACCACAACCCCTACCAACCCCCAACGTACCTCCACCAACGTACCTCATACCCCAGAAACCGAGGATTAATGTCAATCAGAGATAAGGGTTATTACACGACCACGCGACACCTCGGCGACCTGCAAGGACACGCACAGACGGCGTCCCATAAGATGCTCGGAAGCGGAAGAGTAGCGGGATAAGGAAGGCGAAGTTGGGGTTAAGGTAACGAGAGGAAATGGTGGGTTAGGATATAGGTAGAGAAGGGAAATGGTGAGTTAGGATGATGAGGGTGATAGGAAATGGTGGGTTAGGATATAGGTAGCAAGAGGAATTGAAGAATTAGGATGAAGGTAGCGATATGGAATGGTGGGTCAGGGTAAAGATAGCGAAGGGAAATGGTGGGTTAGGATATAGGTAGAAGAAATGGTGGGTTAGGATAATAAGAGCGAAGGGAAAGGGTGGGTAGGGTAGAAGGTAGTGTAAAAGGGTTAGGATATGGGTAGCGAAGGGAAAAGGCGTAGATGGATGAGTTAGGATTAATAAGAGCGAAAGAAATGAAAGATGGAAGGCAGCGAAGGGAAATGGTGGGTTAGGGTAAAGGTAGCGAAGGTAAATGGTGGGTTAGGATAATTATAACGAAGGGAAAGGGTAGGATAGGATATAGGTAGCGAAAGGAATTAATGAGTTAGGATAAAGGTAACGAGAGAAAATGATGGGTTAGGATGAAGGTAACGAGAAGAAAGGGTGGATTATGATAATCATAACGAAGGGAAATGGTGGGTTAGGATAAAGGTATCGAGAGAATTGAAGAATTAGGATAAAGGTACCGAGAGGAATTGATGAGTTAGGATAATTAGAGCGATAGAAAATGGTGGGTTAGGATGAAGGTAGCGATAGGAATTAATGTTAGAATAAAGGTAACGAGGGGAAAGGGTGGATTAGGATAATCATAAAGAAGGGAAAGGGTGGGATAGGATGAAGGCAGTGATAGGAATTAATGAGTTAGGATAAAGGTAGCGAAGAGAAATGGTGGATTAGGATAATGAGAGCGATAGCAAATGTTGGGTTAGGATGATGGTAGTGAAAGGAATTGATGAGTTAGGATAATGATAGCCACAGGAAATAATGGGATGGCTAAAGGACGGGGAAGGGGGTAAGGATAAGTAAGGCAAAATTAGGATAAACATAGCGACAGGATATGATGGAAGGGAAAAGGAGGGGGGGTCAGGATAAATAAGGCGAAATTAGGATAAAGATAGCGAAAGAACGTGATAGGATAGAATAAGGAGTTTGAGAATAGTAGGATAGGTAAGGTAAAATTAGGGTAAAGATAGCGAAAGGAAATAATGAGTTAGGATAAAGACATCAAAAGGAAATGATATGGATAAGGATAAGTAAGGTAAAAGGAGAATAAACATATCAAAAGAAACTAATAAGAAGGATAAAGAGCAAGAGGAAATCAGGATAATCAAAGCAAAAGCAGGATAAAGATAGCGAAATAGGATAATAAATTGGATAAAGAACAAGAAAGTAACAAGATAAAGCAACACTAGGATAAAGATAGCGAAATAGGATAATAAATTGGATAAAGAACAAGAAAGTAACAAGATAAAGCAACACTAGGATAAAGAGCGAAATAGGATAATGAATTAGATAAAGAGGAGGATGATAACATGATAAAACAATACTAGGATAAAGATAACGAAATAAATTCACTAGACGGATAAAAATCTGCAAAGAGGCTTCAATAGACAAGAAGTAGACTTCCTTTCCTGGAATAAAAAATAAAAATAAAAATAATAAAAAAAAATGCCAACAAGAAGCAGATTTCCTTTCCTGGAGTTAAAAAAAAAAAAAAAAAAAAAAAAAAAAATCCACCATGCGCCATACCACTGACTTCACTTCCCCCTAAAACGATTGAAAATGAAACTTTCCCCGTAATACGAATTTGAGACGTTCCTTGACCCTTAAAAAAAAACGACTCTAAAAGTACCATAAGGATCAGTATCCCTTCACTTTCACCTTGTAATGTGACCCTTCCCTTCACCCTGCTTCACTCCGACGTCATCCGGAAGTACCTCGTGTGTGTCATTTAGCCGTGTCGCAAGTGACACCTTCGGCGACTTAAGTGCTTCTCGGTGCTGTGCGGTCTTGTACTTGAAGGCTCTCGTACCCCGTGTGTCTTGTACTTGATTTCTCCCATTCAGTGTTTCTTGTTCTTGATTTTTTCCCTTTCCGTATCTCCTGTACTTGATTTCTCATTTTCCTTGTCTCTTGTACTTGATTTCTCCCATTCAGTGTTCACTTGTACTTGATTGGTCCCGCTGCGTGTCTCTTGTACTTGATCTTTTTAAATTTCCGTGTCTCTTGTACTTGATTTCTCATGTTTCTTGTTACTTGATTTCCTCATTTTCGGTTTCTTTGTACTTGATTCCTCATCTGTATTACTCTGATCTCTTACTGATAAACCTTCTTTTCCTTACCTCTTGTACTTGACCTCCTCATTTCCCTTGTCTACTCAACCTACTTGCAGATTATTCCAAACCCACATCACCCTTTCTACACCTCCACACCCAACCAAACCACCCACGTATCACATCATCCAGTCTCAAACACCATACCACCAACCATCACTCACACTACACACATGAACCCTATCACATATCATCCGAGAGCCAAATTAGGCCACGCAAAACAAATAAAAAAAATGATCAAACGACAAACGTAAGTCATGCGTCATCGACAGGTGAAAGGAGTGTCATCAGGCCCTCCACATCATCATCAGGAAAAGAGAAATTGTCAGGAGACATCATTATGATATATGAAATTAATTCACGTCAATTATTAGGTGGTTAGGTGTGGGGTCGTTAGTGGGGCGCGGACGCGGGGGGAGGGAGGGGGAGGATGGGAGGATCGTCGCGGCAGACGGCAACCGAAAAGTAATGATGCAAGGGAATAATGTAACGTCTACCTTGTTTTTTGTTCTTGTTTTTCTACTTCTTTTTTCTTGTTTTTCCCTCCTACCCTCTATTTTCTTCTTCTTCTTGCATTCCCCCCGCTGCTTCTTCTTCTATTCCTTCCTATTCTCCTCTTCTCCTTTCTCTCCTCTCCTCCTATCTTCCTATTCCTCTCTCCTTCTCTACTTCTCCTTCTCTTCCTCCTTCTCCCTCTCCTTCTCCTCCTCCCTCTATTCCTCCTCTTCCTCCCTCTCCTCATCTTCCCCCGTTCTCTTCCTCCCTCTCCCATCCCCTCTCCTCTCTCTCTTCCCCCGTTCTCCTCTCCTCCCTCCTCCCTCCTCCTCCTCCTCCTCCGCCATCATAAACGCGTCTACATCAAATCCACATGCTCGCCACCAACACAAATATACAGCCATATCAGCCCACTTCACCCCTATGTATTCCTCCCGTAAGCGCTAAAGTTGAGTGTCATCATCAGGTTTTCAGCGCGGGCTATTTGTTGTAAAAAGGTATATCGCATTTTAGTAAACAAACGATAACGTACTACAACAGCAGCTTCCATTCATTCATTCAATTTCAACTGTCCCTTTATTTATACACACAGCGCTCACGTACATACAGACAGATATATTCATTCACACGCACAAACACACACAAGCACAAAGACAGACAGACACACAAAAAACGCACACATAACACACACACACACACACACAAAAAACGCACACATATACACACACACACACACAGAAACGCACACATATACACACACACACAACACACACAAAAACAACAACACACAAACACCCACACCAAAGAACCGCACACATATACACACACCCACTCACAAACACAAACAAAACAATCACACACGCATACCCACCTCTCACAAACACACGAACATACAAAACTCCCCCCCCCACCCCCCCACCCTCCCCCCACACCACCAAAACCACCCAAACGCCCATCCCACATCACAGCGCCCACCGGGAAAAAGAACATCCCCGCCCATCATCGCCACATCAACGCCCAAAACCACTAATTAAGACCCTCCTCCTTGCACGCCCTTCCTTTGCAATACACTTCTACATCTCTTCCGACCGCTGCAACTTTCATTCACGCTCGAACGCACTTCCTTCTCGCATAAACCCTTGCTTTCACTTCATTCAGAGTGAAGTGTCGCTCGCAAGACTCATTTCGAAAGCTCAATGTCTATCGTTTTTTTTCTGTCTGTATTTTATTTTCTTTCTGTTTTATAGTTTTCTTTCTTTTTCTTGTTTTTTTCTTTCTTTTATGGATAACGAATGCATAGATGATCCGCGATCTGTTTTTGGATTATGGATGCGAAGGGAAACGTGTGCATTTTTTTTTTCCTTTTTTGTTTTACTTAATTTTTCTTTTAATTTGAATTCGATATTCACTATTTTCCTTATTACTATATACCTTTTTATAATTTTGTTTTAATTACATTAGTGAAAAATCTGGATATTATCTATGGTGATGAAATCGAGTGAGGAAAGACAACCTAGAGATTTAATGTTGGGATACAGATGTATATTTATCTATCTATCTGGAAATCAATCTATATATCTATATTCAGAGAGAGAGAGAGAGAGAGAGAGAGAGAGAGAGAGAGAGAGAGAAGAGAGAGAGAGAGAGAGAGAGAGAGAGAGAGAAGAGAGAGAAGAAGAGAGAGAGAGAAGAGAGAGAGAGAGACAGACAGACAGACAGACAGACAGACAGACAGAGAGAGAGAGACAAAGAAAGATAGAGATAGAGAGAGAGAGAGACAGAGAAAGATAGAGATACACAGATAGATAGATAGAGAGAGAAAGAGACATAGAAAGAAACAAAGACAAAGAAACAGACAAAGACAAAGACAGACAAAGACAGAGAACACACGAACACACGAGCACGCAAGCTTAAGCCACACACCACACACACCGCCCGTATTCACCATCCGAAACCCTTGTGTACGTGACCGCCCCGCCCAGCTCCCGTGCCCTCCCGCCTCGCTTCGGACCCCAGCGACTAGATGGAGTTCGCAAGCCCTCTCCGCTGCTGGGAACCTTGGAATAATAAATACCNTCTTCTTCCTCTTGATTCCTGATCTATCCTTCTCTCTTCTCT